TTTCCTTTTTATTTTTGTGTACGTAAAGATGTAAAAAGCATGTTACCTCTAGCATCAATGATCAGTCAGTTTTTCCTTGTTTGAAAAAGTAAATATTAAAGTCTAAATTTTACTAAAATGCAAGTGGTGTGGGGATAATCCAAAGAGATATTGTCTTGCATGATGCTGTATGTGAATCAAGTCCATGACTTGATTTACAAAGAAAAAGTTAATCTAATGTGAGATTAACCATTTTTTATTGCTAATTTAGTCCATAATTTAGTCAAGGACGGCAAAGCTATCCCTAGTCTTGATCCGTTCATTTCATAGTTATAGTGGATGTCGAGGGAGATGATTTTGATTTGTGGGTTAGTATCCGAACACTATTCTTCCTTTTTGTTTGTTAATTGCTAATACAAATCATTAAACATGTAAATTACAAACGTGGGGAATCTCTTTCATGATTACCCAGAGCATTGTCCTCCAATTTCAACTGTTTGCTTTAATAGGGTAATGTTTGGACTGATTGATTGTACTGTACTGCTTTTTACATCATCTATTATTCTTTTTATTATTGTTTTTAATAAGACGTGATTCAAGTCATGACTCAAATCTTATGTAAGAAACGTTGGCGGGTTTCTTATAATTTACAAGTCTCTTTCCATTTGGCTGCTCAACTAATAGAAAATTTCATGGCTACGTCATATAAGGTTTCCCAGCTAATAAATCAAAAAGCAATCTATTTCCATTTTACATTATAGAAAAGAAAATATATATAATGTTTTAAAAATTTTTAAATTATTTAAAAAATTTAAATAAATTTTTATTTTTCATTATGTTGAATCAAGTCTTTATGTCAAATAAGTTCTTATGATGGACAATTGATTAATCGACATTAGTTAAAATATCACTTATCATTTTATACTTGCATGACATTGATATGGAAAGTAAAAAAATTCACGTGACTTTATCATTATACTATATTAACATGTCATGTTATCATTTATTATGATATATGTGATATAAAATAATAAATAACATTTTAAGTAACAATAATTAATTAACTATTAGTTATAAAAATTTATTTAATTGATTGAATATAATGAAAAATAAAAATTAATTTAAAATTTTTTTAATAGTTGAGAAAATTTTTTAACTATCACCAATTATTTATAAATAAAGATTATTAATTATGATGATCTATGTATAAATTCAATTCAGTCAACACTTCTATGCTCACTAGGATGTTTTTCCTTTTTTCTTTATTTGAGTATTTATGTGTAACAATACTTTAATAAATTTTAGTTCAACTAACATTTAAGAACATATTAAGTAGTTTGGCAATAGCTCAAGTAGTGTTAACCCTTAATTAATAATTATTTATGTTATGTAAATATAAATACAAAAATCACTTTTTATAAAATTATAATTACTAATTTATTTACCTGATGGAATTAATTATATTCATTATTATACATAAGTGTGTGATTGAGTTTGTATTGAAAGAACATTTTTATTTGTTAATTTTTTAATTTCATTTAATGTTAAAAACTAAACCATTTTATTTAGTAAATTCAGATTAATTGTCGACAGAGTATAATAATAGTAAGTTTCCTTTTTATATACTGCGGAGTGCGGAGTCGTCTGGGTGTGCGATGCTTGTGATAAGCCAAAAATCATGGGTAACATCAAAGCAGGAAGAAGACAAGGATAGGCTTTCGAGAGTACAGACTTAGGAGGTACGTAGGAGAGGGCGTAACCATCCCAAATCCGGCAATGGCCGCCAATTTAAGCCGAACAGCAATGCTCGGGAGCCGCATTCATTTCCACTACCAGATCTGAAACATCAGAATGTTAACAGGAAAGTCCCTATATTACGAACCAAGGAACTCATTTAGTTATAATTGGATCCTCAAACGCCCAGAAGCAGTTTCATCCACCATAATTTCTAGTGCATATCAAAATAGACTTTATACCTTTCCGTCATGCTTAGTTTCAAACAATTATTTCATGAAATAATGGGAAAGGTTCCGAGATATTATTAGGACGAATGATTCCCTTGCTTTAAGGATATTGAAGAAGGTAACTGTAAGATGGTTATGTGCAGAGAGGTTCTGCGTGCAACTAAGGTTTCTGCCCAACTAGTAGGGAGGCTTTAGCAATTTCTAGGGCCTCCTCAACCGAAGATGCTTTCTGAAGCTTGGCTTTGTCAATGGAGGGCTGGCTCCTTGCAAGTTCAGGAAGGAGTTTAAATTCCTGTAACATAACAGCATGGTGAGTGCATATTAGAGCCTTGGAAGCAAAGCCTAAGATAACATAGCACAAAAGATACAGGAGAAACGATCGAAAAACAAAAACAGCATTTCAGATTATATTGGAAAAGGGATTTCATGTTTGTGATACTTCATCTTCAAATTTAGCAACCATTCAAATCTCTAAGCTGCATAGGATAACTAGGTAACATGTATTTGGTCAACCCCACAAAATAAACTTTTTCAAACCTCTTTGAAAGCCTCTCAACCTAACTAAGAACTGATTTTTCTGCAGTATACAATGCCAAGACGGATACTATACTCGACATTGTCATCTCATAGTACCACAGAATGCTTCAAGAATACAATCTCTTACTGAAGTTGGTCCTACAAGCAACAAGTGCATCTCCTACAATCCATCTTGAGCATCATTAAGATTTTGATTTAATAAATGGTCAACTCGAAACTGATATCCAGATTTGGCTTCCTTTTTCCACATATTATTATATTTGTATTGAAAAAACTTGCCTTGATACAATATTTAGCTGTCTACAAATATTCTTTATTAGGAATCTTCTTTCTGTATGAATACCATGCATCTAGTTTCATCCTAACACTTTCCGCATTCCAGCACATTGTCAGACTACTCTCAGAGATAGCCCAGATTTCTCATTCTTAGTAAACAGTGTCAACTAATCAACCAGCAATGCTAATTGGCATGGAAAATTAGAAATCTTATAAAGAAAAATACCTCGGCACTTCCACTTTCAAGAAAAACTCCTTTCAGTTTACCTGTAATGGCACGAAGAAAAAGTTTAATCATACTTTGTGAAAAATGTAATGGAAAATGGGGAGAGAGAAAGAGTCTATTACCAGAATCTATCCAGAAAGTAGCAATTTTCGGATAAAAATTCCCAATCTCAACGGTCTCTCCAACTGCCAAAAAGATTATAATTGTAAATGCTGAATATGAGATAAAAAAATACATATAAATGCAATGCTAAAAATGCATGTAAGATATTCTCACCATTGTCCCCAAAAAACTGCCACCAAACTTTCCTGGGGCTCCCTTCATACTCAAAAACCCTTGAGTAAAAATATGGCAGATAATCATACCTGGAAAACATGTAATGATGCAACTCATTAACATTTCAGAATGAAAGATAATCACCAGCAGTGTATCTAACACCCTAGAAATTAGGCATGATGGAAGATAAGAGATAGACAATCACATACGTGTGAGTTTGAGCACTAAGCAATGCCTTAACACAATGCTGTGCAGATCGACGAGCATGATCAACATGTTCAACTCTTGCCATGCGGTCATACATCTGTTCATGAAAAACCATGTGTACTTACAGATCTTGAAAGGAAAAATGTATATTGATTTGAGAAAATTGTACCTTAAGGGGGAATGCAGCAACATCTCCAACTGCAAAAATTCCAGGTATGCTTGTCCGGAATAGACCATCAACCTGGTTCATGTGCAGAGTCATCAATGATCATATCCATATACTCTACTAGAAACAATCAATATCTCAACTATGGTTATAAGTTAAAGGTGTGAAAATAAAACGCTGTTGGTCTAGTGGTCTTTTTATCAATAAAGAATAGAAAACATGGAAAACATACAACATCCATCAAGGCATGATTTTTGCAATTAATATACAATACTTGGTTACCTGCATAGAGCACCATCAATTTCACAATAACATACAAAATTACGTCACACATGGTACTAGATACATGTATAACTATGCATTATGAGTTAATAGATAATATAAATGAGCACATAATTCAATAAAAAAAGTTACAGATGATGCTCACCTGTATGCCACCAACAGTGGTATTTAATCCCAACACTTCAAAGGAACTAACTGCAGGTTTTGCCCCAATACCAATAATTATCTGTGGAATGGTGAAAATATAGGGTGAAAGGGCCATTTGATCAGTTCTACCACTATTAACAAATAAAGAAATTTTACTTATAGCAAAATGGTTACCGTGTCTGCTTCTATGGTGGATCCATCTCCAAGTTTAACAGCAGCTACCCGTCCATTAGAACCAGCTTCTAAGTTTTTGATAGAAGCACCCTGGTCATTGGTTAACAATATCAGAAACTCAGTTCACAGGGTAATAATCAAATTCAGGTGTTTACTGGCTACTAATTGAAAACCAATTTCAAACTAATGGAATTTGCATCCAAGTGGATAGGCATGGGTTATTGGAGCATAAGTGAACACACACACTAATAGCAGGGTATGTGTCACAGAGAGAGAGACAGAGAGAGAGAGAAAAAGAAATAGTACCTTTAAAAATTTGACACCATTCTCTTTGTAGAGCTCTTCATATCTTTGAGCAAGGGAAGGAGTGAATAATCTTTGCAAAAGATGATTCTCTGGGAAAATGATCTACATTAGGAGCAAAAGGAAACTGCATTAAAGCTCAGCAAGTCAAAGAATTTACATAAGATCACCAAACCTTAAATGCAAAATAGAAGATAATGTAGTCTTATGCACAGGCACACATGAGTACATATCTCTATACATGCATGTCTTGAAACACAATGAAACTTTTCATTTTTCAAGTTATCAAAAGTGCCACATCAGCTTGGACCATCTAAGGGAAAGCTACAGCAGAAATAGAATAATTCTTTTTGGTTTCATTAATTACTGAACCAATTACATTTACCAAATGTAATGAACTCATACCGTAGTATCAAGTTTCCAGCCAACAGCAGCAGCAGCAACCTCCATCCCGATATAACCACCTCCAACAACAACCACCTTCTTTGCCTTCTCCTAAATTATTAAATGGACGTTATTATCAAGGTAACATCATGAAAAGGAAATAAAAAGATATGAGTAGAAGAAACTAAAAGTACCAAAGATGAGATTAGTGAATCAGCATCTGCAACATCCCGAATGTAATGAACACCAGGAAGGTTTCCTCCGATTTTCTCTGGAAATCTAAAACAAATATAGTCAAGATATCAGTGTCCTCTTTTTTTCTTCTTGTACTGTTTCACCAATTCATGCATATAATCTAGGACAAATAAATGGGAAGCTACTACAAACTGATAAGTATACCTTGAGGCTGTACATCCGGTAGCAATTATAAGAGACCCATACTTCAGCAATTTGCCAGAATTTGTGGTTAGAGTTTGCTTTTCTATATCAATAGTCGTTACTGGATCCTCATAAATCATCTACTCATATAAGAGAAGCAATAGATAAAGATTAAAAATAACATTATATAAAACATCAATAGCCCTTCATAACCAGAGACTTAAACTGGGATAAGCTTCTTAAAGTTTCACTTCATACACTATTTAATTAAAAACATTTTTTTTCTTAGGTTGCAATGTAATTTCCGATTAAGTAACTTCCTAGAAGGGGGCCAGAACAAAAGACTCTTAAACAAGCAGGACATAACAAATGGTTAATGAAATTAAACATTACAAAACATTAATAACTAAAGCAGTTAGACGAAATACCTCGATCCCTTTCTCTTTATACCATTCAGGAGTTTGCCTTTCACCACCAGATCCGACACAAGTATGAAAACCCTATGATGATTTGGAAAAAAGCCAGCATAACCAGACATAACAATTACAAGCATGAAAATTAGAAGCCGGCGGAAAATAAGACCAGAAAAAGATTAAAGTTCTAATCACTGACCACCTGAACTTGCTAGACATTTCCAATTTAACATCACATAAATACAGCAAAATACATTGAATTTTGAAACATCGAATACTCTCACCAATGACCCAAAGTACACTCATGGACGTTTAATTAGACATAATTCTTAAACGAGCACAAAATAGTATAATTCAAGTACAGATTGAAAAAAAGAAATGTATCTACATAATGCTGAAAATTCTTACGGGTAATCGAGCTGGTTTCTTGTCTAGGGGAAACAAGTAGCCTTTTGTCAAAGCCGGTCTCTCATACGGTGCATATGCCTGCAAAACATTAACAGAAAAAAAAAAGAAAAAACTAAACTAAAATTCAAAAGTAAAATAAGGAGTAAAAGAATCAATAAAAATGCAAAATAGGATATAGAATTCACCTCTTTGGATACAATACAGAGCCTGCCATCGGCCATTCCGTGTTCGACGAAAGTCCTTGCTGCATATCCAGCAGCATTGCCCCCTCCAACGATCACAAATCTATCACAACGAAAAAA